AAGATCCTTTTGTTCACCAAGTGAGTAAAAGATGTGTGTGTTTCTTTCTTGACAGGATGAACAATCCAGTAGATGATTGCATTGGAAGCACGGAAATGGGGGTTTGGGGTGGGGATGGAGGTGCACTTGGACAATAGCTATGTATAGACATTATAGTGGAAATTTTTAAAATTATAGTTGTCCCCTTTCCATTTGGTTTCACTCTAGCTAAGACTTAATTATACAAAATCAACTGTGGTAATATTATGCAGTAAATCCCCCATGTCCCATTTTCCTTTTCTTTACTTAAACCTGTTTATTATAATTTAGATGCATTTTTGGTCAATTAACATTTGGTTTCACTCCTTCACATTACTCCTAACCACATTCAGCTAACCCTTCTATGGGATGCCGATGGGGGAGAGTGAAGCCTACTTTTGTTATGTACTCAATATAAATTTTTAATGATAATTAAAATAAATGTTCTTTTTTTCCCCCACNTATCTCAGTACTTGAAAATTCTTAATTAGTTGCTCACCCTTTCTTCTGATATTTTGGAAGTACAGTGTCAGCTAATATAAACATTTGAGATGATCGGTTGTTTAGTCACTAAGTCATGTCCAATTCTTTTGTGACCCCATGGACTGTAGCCTGCCTAGCTCCTCTGTCCATGGGATTTCCCAGGCAAGAATACTGGAGTGGGTTGTTACTTCCTTCTCCAGGGGATCTTCCTGATCCAGGGATCAAATCCACATCTCTTGCATTGGCAGGCAGATTCTTTACCACTGAAGATGGTGGGGAGTATTTCCCTTTTCTATTCACTAAATGAGATCCTGAATGGATCTCATGAAGCCCAAAGATACTTTTGGTAGAAGAATTGTTGACACCATCAAAGCGCTTTAAACTTGAAGGAAATAAATCTATTCTCAGATAAAGCCATCAAAGTCATGTGAATGTGTACACACACATATGTATGTGTATGTGTGTTAATGTTATGACAATAATTAGGGCATAGGAAGAACCGTGTTAATAGAGATGATGCATAATGATTATCTAGAGAAAATCACATGAGACAGGGTCAATAATAAATAAGTAATAATAAACAGGCACATGGAAAAGCAGTTTAAGTAATCTTCATAGATATCAATAAATTATAAATTTTTTTTGTGTTTTTGAGTATTTAAATTGTTTATTTTCTCATGAATGTAATGCTGATTGTTCACAAAAATAATTTTAATAAGAAGAGTAAAGAAATATATGCAGTGAATAACTCTTTCATGGAAACAGGTAAACTTAAGGAAAAAGTAATAACAGAGAGCATTTGAATGAGGGGGAAACAGAGAGGAAAAGAGAAGTAATTTTGTTGCCGAAGCTTGAAAGTCTTTTCCTAAACGTGGAAGAACTGATGACTTTTTACCGTACCTCTGTGTTAACTCCATGTTTTAGAAGATTGAGGATAGAATGAAAGAGCTGACTAAATCTGACTAAAAGGGAAGAACTTGGTGATATGGAGTGCTAGAAAGTTTGGGTAGTTCTATCCTTAACATTTGCAGAGAGCAGAATGAAAATATACATGGAGGCCTGCATACCATACTTACATATGTGAAAGCTACAAATCAAGCTAACAAGTTGGTAAAATAGGTTTTATCCTCTTATCTTTCTACCTTGAGAAATATACCTTCAAACTGACCTGAAAGATATAGATCTGGATTTAGAATTCTGGTATTCCTTGACGTTTCCTGTTAGAATGAGGTGATGGACAGGGAGCTCACCCTTGCCCCTGATGGTCAGCTTCCTTTCCTTTCTACTTCTGGCTCTACCTTGTACTTGAGAGGCCTTGGGTACATGCAAATGGACAACTTGCATGTCTGAGCTCCCTAATACTCATCAGTAAACAGCTGCGTCTTGGCTGCCTCTCAGGTATAGGGGTGGCCATGCTGTCATTTGCACTTAGAAGTTTGGGTTGCAGAAAGAGGCTGGCATAGGCATTGGAAGCGGACTTGGACTAAGTAGAGAGTTGGGGGTACTGAGTGTGCCAGAAAGGGTATATATGAGCTCTGGGAGGACACATCACCTTGGTTGGTATATATGAGCTCTGGGAGGACACATCACCTTGGTCTCATGGACTCTTCTGAAGCATAATAGAATGTGTACCCCATGGCCTCTCAGAGTTAACTTCACTTAAAAGGGAAATACTTGTTAAACTGAATGAGTTTTAAATTGCTATAAGCTCAATTTAAAGCAAGAAATAAAGTGGAGTAAAGGAAATTTAGGCATATGGACAAAGGCAATCTGGGGAGAAAGGAAGTATCAACATGATACTTTGCTCTGCCTTACAGACTATCCCTGGAGACATCTGTTACTGCTGTCAAGAGATTTGTTTTCCTCCCTTAAATTCTGAAAATTGGGGTTTAATCTAGTCTGCTTGTTTCTAAACCTGAACCTTTCCCACTTTATAAAACTATCTGTAGTGGTTAGAAGTTAAAAAGTTTCAGATTTCAACTCAACATGAGGAAGAACTTTATAAAAGTAATCACTCGTATCTAATGGTATAGTGAGCATCTCATTTCCCAGTACATTGTTGAAATGAAGGATGCTGTAGGAGGTGTCCTTGAATTATTTCGGAGGTACTTTCTAACTCTTAAAATTTTGTGAATTATAAAATGCAATTGCCTTGGGTTATAATACCCATACCCTAGCAGGATTTTTGTTTTGGATTCACATTGCATTATGGCTACAAAAGGTTGGTAAAAACTCATCAGACTTTGACCTTGCTTTGACTTCATTTGCAAAATTCTGCAGTTTGATGCCTATTATTGCCTTGATCTCCAAACAGTTTCATCAGTTAACTAGAAAATGTTTTGATACTATACACAAAGTGATTAGTATGTACAGTGTTAGTATTTTTAGTAGTATACTCAATTTTGGAGATGTAATTGTACTTAAATGCTTTTATTAGATTTGTCATAATTGTTTCATTTGAAATTTTCAGCATAATTATCCTTGTTTTTAATAAGATATATGAAAGAATTGTAAATATTAATTATGAGTATGTTTGATTATAAGCTTATTTGAAATCACAATTTTGAGTATATGTACAAATTTCTCTGTTGAGTCACTGGAGACGGTCTTTGGCAGATTCTTATTTTTCTCAAGAATACTTCACATATCCATTTTTGTAGTAAGAGAGTCATGGAATGAATGTAGCCATGTGGCATATATTTGGAGAGCCATAAGGTTTCTAGGCTCTATAGTATTTGCCTCTATTTAACAAATTATTATTATCTAAGAATTAAATTACATCAAGAAAAGAGCTAATAAGCAAGATTTTTTTTTGTACAGGGTGGTTTTGTTTGTGCATCTCTCTCTGTCTGCGCATGTATCAGGCATATAGTGTAGGCTTAGTGAAGCACTGATCTTTTCAGTTACAAGTACATGAAGAGATCATGATTATCTTTGGATATATACACTACAACATTTATGGATCCAGGGGAAGGATTTGAGAGAGCGTGAGAGGCTGAAGGGCAGAGAGATGCTGACTTTGTGGAACTAAAACAGTGGGAGCTGAGAAAAGTAGGAGGAGAAGAGGGGTAGACTCTCAGGGCAAGGAGTTGGAGGGAATATGGGCCCTACCCTGTAATTCTGACTGCCCTTAGGGGTTGGAGGCAGAGGTATAGAAAAAAGAACACTATTCTTTCCTAGAATCCCTGCGATTGAGAGGAGTGTTGAAAGGACTGATTCTGGGATAAAACATGATTTCATGAAAATGTGTCATTCTTTCTTTCACTCATTTATCTATCTATCCTTAGTCCATTCATAAAACCAGAACCTACCTTGGTTTTACAAATGGACTTTGTAAGAAAATAAGAAACTTGGAAGAAAGTTTGGAAGAAACTTTAAAAGAAAATATGTAACAACTAAATGGAAAGATTTGTGCATTGATAGTAACACACACTTCTATAGACTATAATAGTTTATAGGCTAATAATAGACCAAGTTATATATAGGACAGATGTGTTTCTTACTGTTATCCTGTGAACCTCCAGTAAATACTTGCTGTGTGATTATTGACTGTGAATAAGTTAATATAGATTTGTGGGCTTAGAAATTTGGGTAATAGTCTTCATGGCTGATGTGTTACTTTGAATATGTTATGAAATTCTATCCATGGTCACTTGCTATATATGTATTCTTTTTAAAAAATCTCACTGGACTGACATTTAAGATTTATATTAAGATCTGAAAGAATGGTTTGTAATGTTTTTCTTATTTTGTCTTGCCCAAATATGAAGATTTGCCTTTCTTTTTATAATAACTATGCCAATTTATGTTAGTTTCTTTTCTGTAAAGGAAAGTAAATTGCCCAAAACTTTCTTCTCCAAATCAAAACCCGAGAGAGAGAGAGAGACAGAAGTTGCTTAGTCATGTCTGACTCTTTGTGACCCCATGGGCTGTAGCCTACCAGGCTCGTACGTCCATGGGATTTTCCAAGCTAGAATACTGGAGTGGGTTGCCATTTCCTTCTCCAAAACCCTCAAATGATTCCCCAAATAGAGAGATGTATCATGTCTTCCAAAGTACTACCTGATTCCTCATCTGAATGATCACTAACAACAGGCAAAATATGGGCTCTGGCTGCGTTAGTGCTTATGATTTCATGGAAGTCAAAGCATGTGTTTGCTGCAAGATATCTGTCACTAACTCAGCCATTCATTTTTTACTTAAGACTCCTGATCAAATGCAAACTCGCCTTGGCTGGGTTATAATTTTAGTCATGAACAAACCAGCATAAATTACGTTGTTAGAGGACCCAAGCCCAGAAACATGACCTGAGAAAACAGTCGGGGAATATCTTGTTTCTCTGTTGGTGGACTTGGCACCTTTGTCCTCTGAGGACTACAGCTGATAGCAGGAGGAGGCGCTTGAATACTAATTACACATATGCTATGATTTTCATTAGTGCTTTCCTCTAGAAAGTATTTTTTCTTTATTAGTAAATGTCTTTTTGTTTTTGTGCACAGGCAGCATGTCAGCTGAAACACCAATCACACTGAGTATCAATCCTCAGGATCTGCGGGTCCAGACATTCACTGTAGAGAAGCTACTGGAGCCTCTCATAATCCAGGTATTGATAACATGGAAATTACAATGAGTAATAGTAACTGCAAAAGTACTAAGAAACATAGGAAAAATAAATAATGGAAAGATTTGATTTTTATAGAATGAATATGTCATCCGAAATTGTCCTTTAAAATGTTTTAAAGTGTACCAAAGTATCTATTTAGTAATAATAATGATAACATTCTGAAAGTTCCTCCACAGATTCTCTTTAAAAATCAAAAAAGCAATAATATGCATATGCAGTTTTGAAAGTACCTTTATGCAAGTTATGTTGTTCAATTGTCATGAAAACTGAGTGAGGCAGGCAGCATGGTTAAAACCATTCTTATTACACAGAAGCAGAAACAGCTAGAAACAGCCTAGAGAATTTCAGTGACTTGCCTCAGAGCACATGGTGGCTCATCTGTCAAATAGAAAATTATTTTAAAAATACCAAAATGTATGAGAAAAGCAGATATTTAAGTTATTCTATGATAAAATCTTTCATAAAGTGAATAATTCCTTGGTAATAGGCATAATGATTCTCTGACTTTATTATGTAAGCCCAGGTTTTATTTATTGGCTTTTCTTAGAGCAGCGCTTGGAGAAACTTACACTATAGTATAGATTTAGATTTTTTGTTTTTAACCCCAAATTTGTGAGAAAACTCCTCTTTAGGCTTACCTTCCATCATACCCCCTAAAACAGATTGTCCCTTTTTCTAAGCCTTGAAGTACTCTAGGGTTTCTTAAGTGAGAAATGACATTGACCTTACCTCTGATAATTTAAACACTTTCTGTTTGTCTTCTTTGTGAGATGGATGGTGGGGAGGAGAGTAGCTCTAAGAATAAGCTTTGTACATATTTTTACTTAGCATATCTCCTACTGGAAAGACAATTTAAAACATGTGCCTCACTGATGATAGCTTAATCATGAACTTTGGCAGTCTATAAGACACTGATATCTTACATGAAATTGATATTAGATGACTCTGAAACTTCACTGAGGTCCCTGTGTTTGCAACCCACAGAATGGTCTCATGTTAAAAAGAGAATTTTTGTACAACAAAATTATTTGCCCAAGCTCTTGATTTTCATTATAATGGGATTTTCCTTACAAAAAACCAGTATATTTCAAAGTCAGCGTCATTAATTTGGATTTGATAAGCAAACTTCTTGTCACTTTGATCATGTATTACCTATCAATACAATAAAATTTCCATTAAATTAAAGATTTTTTACTAGAATAGCATCATACTAAATATCTCATCACATTCTTTTTTTTCAAAGAGTGTTTAATTTGAAATAGTTACATTGTTTATTTTAAGCATGTAATATAGTCTCTGATTATAGTGGAAAACATTCCAAAAGAAGTTAATGATCTTTAAGTTCATAATGCCAGCAGATAGTTATCATTTAGTAATCCCATTAAAAAAGTCTCACATTTCATCATTATTTATCTTCATGTTATATTCCTTTGCTTTCAAGGTTCCACAGAAATTACTTACCATCTCTGTATATAACTCAAAGTCAAAATTACATTTTAATTTTTGGAGTAATTGGTCATAGATACTATTATGTCACTCTGACTTCTAAATTCATTGATTCATAAATCTTTATTCAGCTCTTTTTATAGTTACCAATCTTTCCGACCAAACTTGATTTATCTTTAATCTATTTTTTTTTTCTTTTGGGCACAGGTAAATCACTAGGTCATTTTGCAGGGATGTTCAGGCTGGGATATATTTCAGTCATTCACTTTCATTTTCTATGTGTGATAACTTACACAGTTGCATCCTTCTGTAATAAATTCCTCCAATGGATCAGAAATAATTTTTTTCTCAGCAATTACATTTTTATGATTGCAACTGTAGGCATCTGTACTTTATCACTTTCAAGATCCAAGTTTGACAGTGCAGTGCAGAAAGTCTATTTATGCAGAATTACGATGAAAAGAATTTACATCTCTGTGTTGTATACTCTCTGAAGGAGATATAAATGCTAAAGCATGCTACAGTTGTTACATAATGGACCTGTCTATAATCTTATTTGCCACAAAACATAATTTGGTATGTGTCAGATTCATGTAAAATGTGAGCCAGAAGAGTTAATTTAAAACCCCTTAAGATAAGAACAATAACAAGCTCCTCATAATGTTATCTCCAATGAAGACAGAAGATCTTTTGAGGGGGCAAAGGTTCAAATAAATTTTCTGACATAAATATATTTCATATTTTCAAGTGGTAAATATAGAGTTAGATCAATAGTAATAAACATTATTACTCTGTCTCTTACCTCTAACTCTTGTAGGACCTCTTAGCCTTTTCGCGGTTTCCACTTTGATAGTGTTTCACATCTATTTCTGGGAGTCCCTTAGGGATGGCTTTTATATACTCTATAATATGCATTGGGTCAAGTTTAAGAATATCTGCTCAATTTTTTATCAGTCAGCATAAGCTAGGTTATGCTGTGATAAAGCAACCTCCAAATCTCTGAGGCTTCAGTTCAGTTCAGTTCAGTCGCTCAATCGTGTCCTACTCTTTGTGACCCCATGAACTGCAGCACGCCAGGCCTCCCTGTCCATCACCAACTCCCGGAGCCTACCCAAACTCATGTCCATTGAGTCAGTGATGCCATCCAACCACCTCGTCCTCTGTTGTCCCCTTCTCCTCCTGCCACCAATCCCTCCCAGCAGTAGGGTCTTTTCAAATGAGTAAGCTCTTTGCATCAGGTGGCCGAAGTATTGGAGTTTCAGCTTCCTTCAACATCAGTCCTTCCAACGAACACCCAGGACTGATCTCCTTTAGGATGGACTGGTTTGATCTCCTTGCAGTCCAAGGGACTCTCAAGAGTCTTCTTCAACACCACAGTTCAAAGCATCAGTTCTTCGGTGCTCAGCTTTCTTTATAGTCCAACTCTCACATCCACACATGACCACTGGAAAAACCATAGCCTTGACTAGACGGACCTTTGTTGGCAAAGTAATGTCTTTGCTTTTTAATATGCTGTCTAGGTTGGTCATAACTTTCCTTCCAAGGAGTAAGTGTCTTTTAATTTCATGGCTGCAATCACCATCTGCAGTGATTTTGGCTTAACAAAGGTTCATTTCCTGCTCAAACTACATGTTTAAAGTGAGTTGGCTAGGAGGTCCCTGCTAAATTCAGGCACTCAGGGACCCAGGTTAATGTATATTTCATCTCAATATTTATTTCCACTATGGTTACCACAGGAAAAGGGAACACTATGAATCATGCAAAGGCTCCTAAGTTGTCCACCTGGATGTGACATATGTCAGTTCCACTCACATTGCTTTTGTCAAAGCAAGTCATGTGGTCAATGGGGATGATAGATGTGTGATCTTGTTCTGTGCCCAGGAGGATGGGAATATTTGTGAACAGCCCTGAAAACCATTATATTTCCATTGCTTCCTTTTCAGGGGTTCTTTTTTTTTGTTAAGTCTCCATCTGATTTGTCACCTTTCCACTCTGATCACATCTGGCCTTATTAGGGTGGGCAACTGACTTATTGACAATTATAGGTTGGCAAGAAGCCTGTGAGGCAGTCTGGCATGAGAGCTCTGCCTCTTGGGTGTGATGGTAAATTGGTCACATTGCCATCCTGTCCTTTGGGAATTGACTTTGGGTATAGTTAAGCAGTTACCTAGCATTACACAGTTATATCATGTGCCAAACCAAGCAATACACAGAAAGAAGTAGAGATATAGAGGAGAGTTCTGTTGGAGCAATTTTCAAGTTTGGATCTACAAACTCATGCTGTTGAGGGACAATAAGGTTTCCTAGTTACCATGGTTTTAAGGCATCCTTCCAATTTCCAAACCACAAACTAGTCTCAAAATAATACTCTAGCCTCTGTGGGCCCTCACAGTTTCCAGTTTCCTTGAGCATCGACCATATAGTCCTGATGCTTGTCTTACTATGTCATCTGATTCCCTGGCCTCCTACCTCTTCATCAGTGGCTGAAACTTCAGAAGAAGTTCCGTTAGTAACAGTAATCAAGGGTTCTTGTAATGGCCCTCACTTACTTTTTATAGAATGAAGATTTTCCTGTGAAGCTTCTCTTCCGCTCTTCCCTTCATCTCCAGTTTTTGAAGTTTCTGATGTTTGACTCATCAACCCTCCCAAACTAGTCTATCTGCCATGTTTTTCCACTTTGCCTGGTTTCATCTAGTTGATATGTAGAAGGTAACTGCCAAAGATGCCCATTTTTAAGACTGGAGAAGTTCCAAGAAAATCTCAGACAGGGCTGAGCACATATAGTCTTTTTGTAGATTACTTTAAAAGCAAATATTGGAGTTTTGACTATAATCTTAACAAGAAACCTTGAAAGTTAGTAAATTAAATATCTTTTAAGTACTTATATGTGCAAAGCATAGTAAGTATAAAGATGTTATTTTTATGATGGGATGAAGAAATAAACTTAATTCTGCCTCTTTAATGTTTTAACTTTTAAGATGATCAGTATAGTTGAGTTGTTTCTTATAAAGTGAATTCTTCAATTTCTGCATTCTCTTACTGCTGGAAAACTGCTCCCATGGGAAAGTTGTTAGGCTACAATGTTCCTTGAGGAACAAAATAGTTGAGAAAAAGGAAGCCACTTCTTAAAATAATGATAAGAAAAACTAGTAGCTGATTAAAATAGTACAAGTCCATGGGAATGTGCACGGTGAACATGCAAAGGAAGCCCCCACCACTAGAACCTTTTAGCTTTGAACTTAGCTGTGGGCCGATGTCTGTCTCTGAATATGCTTCACTTCCTGTCAGCTTGCTCCCTAGACCTTTTATTCTATCAGACTCTGATTTTGTAAAATACACCAATGTTATTGCCCTGTTGTTCTGGGTTCTCTGATTACCTCTGATCCACTTCACTACTGTTAATATTTTTTCTTTCAATCTTCTTCTCCACAAATTCTGATTGATCTCACAGATATCCACTTCCAATTTAGCTGTGAAATAAGATCTTTTTATTATAAACTGGTTCTGTAGGCAACCAGGTGGTATAGACTGAT